GCTGCAAAGAAACATTTACAGGCATCTTTCAGAAAGAAAACAGTTATTTCACCTGAATGTTTGTTTGTCTGTTAAACTAAAAAGTAAAAAATAAATTAATAGTTTAAAAAAAAACTAAAAAACACGCTTTTAGAATTTAAAAAAAAAATAAAAAATCACGCTTTTAGAGTTAATCAAACTAAAAAGTAAAAAATTAATTAATAGTTTTAAAAACACGCTTTTAGAGTTAATCAAACTAAAAAGTAAAAAATAAATTAATAGTTTAAAAACTAAAAAACACGCTTTTAGAGTTAATCAAATTAAAAAGTAAAAAATAATTGTTAACATAAGAATAAAATGACTGACGAGAAAATGAATGTCACTGTTCTAAAAGCGTGGGGTGCTTTGTATGACATTTTAAAACTAACTCTGCATTTCGGAATGAAACTAGTGAAAAATTATAACGATTGATATCGAGCACCCCACGCTTTTAGAACAGTGACATTCATTTTCTCGTCAGTCATTTTATTCTTATGTTAACAATTATTTTTTACTTTTTAATTTGATTAACTCTAAAAGCGTGTTTTTTAGTTTTTTAAACTATTAATTTATTTAGCATGTGTTTTTATTCTTAGACCAGAACACAAAGTATAATATAAAATTTCGCTTAGCGCTTTATTTATTTTTTCATTATTTTTACTAAAAATTCTTCCATTTAAGTTTATGTTAAAAATAAAACACTACATCAGTTTCACTCAAAAAATAAATCTTTGAATACTTTCATAGAAACTAATTAAAACAGCTGTGCACTAAGCGAACAGTTTTCAGAGTTTCGCGATTCTTTTTTTTTTTTTTAAATTTCAATGCTATAATTTAAAAACGTTATTAATTTTAATTTTTTTCATCAAAATTATAGAAACAAATTTGAAAGATAAATTCAGAAAAAATTAAAAAGTTCAAATGTAAGTATAATATTTACTAATAATAGCCAACGGCCGTACCATGCTGAATATACCGGTTCTCGTTAGATCACCGAAGTGAAGCATCATTGGGCGCGCTCAGTACTTGGGTGGGGGACCACCTGGGAACAGTGCGTGCCGTTGGCAAATTTGGGACCTGAATAGCCGAGTGTTCTAGCGCTCTGGCGCTCGGTGCCACAGGTTTCGGGTTCGAATCCCGGCGGTGCCACGGATGTTTGTAGTGGTTCGGAATCCACTTTAAGCCGTAGGTCCCGGTCTCCTATAACTGTAAGAGCGTCACGGAGCAAAAGTCAGGCTTCTACCTACGGGTGCTCCATCACAACAGAAGCTGCTTCCTTTTCCCCTTCAATCATGAGTCCCTATGGGCTCGTGGGCTTGGCCAGCCAAGTGGGATAAGAAACAACAACAACAACAACATATTTACTAATGCTTTTAAACACTACATATCGCGATAATTTATTTTTTCAATACATTAAGAAATATAGCGTATCGAAAAAAAATTAGCAAAATTATGAAATTAAGTTATAATATTATACATGATAATATAATATAATATTAACTATAATACGTGATGAAAACACATAACAAGAAAATACTAAACATTTTGTTTGTGATATATATATATATTCCATATAACTGGAGCCTAATTTTAATAATGTTTTCTCAGACCATTAAATGCGAAACTAACCTAATCTTGACGAAACTTTATTTTTTTTTTTATTATAACTGATTTTAATTGACTTTAAATTTGCAAAGGAATTTCGTAAATCAAAGTTTGTGTTTAAAATCTGCTCCCAGAGATAAAAATTTTTTATCGTCGTATTGCATATTTTAAAAACATTATAGAGATGGGCATTGGGTAGAATCAGAAGTGCCTGTCGATCAAGTAGTTAGTGCTCTAGAATTGGGTACTTCACACTTTCAGGTTCGAATCCTGGTGGTAGCATGGGTGTTTGTTAGTGGTTCAAAATCCACTTTGAACTGTAGATCCCGGTCTGCTTAGGCCAAGTGTGTAAAAAATGACCTGTAGAGCAAGAAGCCGAACTGAAGAGAGCTGTAGTTGAAGGATATTAATTTCTCAGAATTCTTCAAAAGTTGTGGCAATGGACGAACACAAATACTAATGCAGATGTTGGTTATACAGAACATTAAATCATTTTAAAAACCAATTTGCGATATTGCATATCTTTAAAACAATACAGTGTTAATGTTAGGCATTGGGTAGACTCTGAAGTGCGCGAGCGGCAATGTAGGTGTCAGCTTCCCAGTGTTCTAGATTGGTTTGGTTTGTCGCTCTACGGTCATCTTGTGCACTCTTTTGGGCTAAACAGACCGAGACCTACAGTTTAAAGTGGATTCCGAACCACCCACAAACATCCACGGCACTGCCGAGACTCGAACCCGAAACCTGTGGTACCGAGCACCGAAGCGCTAGCCAATCGACCATTCAGAACCCTTATTAAGTGGTTCAGAACTTATTAAGTGGTTCACTTTAAACTGTAGATCTCGGTCTGCTTAACTGTAGTGTGCGACAAATGACCACATAGCGGCAAATCAAAGTGAAGAGCACGATAGTTGAAGAACATTATTTTCTGAGAATTCTCGAAAAATAGTGGCAACATAGTCTTACAAAAATGCTAATGCAGAGGTTGGTTAAACAGTTCATCATATCTTTTTTTAAAAATACGAGGTTTAAAGAAGGAGTCTTACAGAAATTGCCATAGCAATTGAGAAAATCTTTCAATCTTTGAAATTACAGGTAAATAGTTTCGAATCTATATTGACCTCCAGTTGCTGTAGCTTTGTTTGAAAATTCTGTATTTTTCCTGAAAGAAATTTCTTTCTTTGTTGTATGTGCGTGAAAAATTTCAGATTGAAGAACAGTTTGTGTCTTCTGTAGTATTTGCATTAAAAAATTAATAATCGGGACACTGCTTAAATCTGTATTGTTTTGTAAATATATATTTCGGGTACTTAAAATAATGTTTATATGCGAAAGAAAATTGGAAATTTAAAAAAAATACAGTGGCATTTCCAGTTTTTAGTTTGTTGAAGCTTTTTTTATTATTAACTTCTTAGAAACATGTGCTAACTTCATAGTTTTTTTTATGCTATTTATAAGAGTAAATTAGAATGATGCAAATGAAGTCTCCAGTATCATCGGCTACTGGCAAGAGTATTTTGTGGAAAAGAATCGCATTTTTGCATTAAACCATTTTAAATTTCAATTTGCAGAAAAGCGTTTTTGTAACTATGTTCTAAACTAGGTTGAATGTTTAAAATTCTCAAGCAGCGTTTTCGAAACATGAGTAATATGTCATTGAAAAATGTTGCTTCGTCATTATTATATTTTAAAATTACCAACTACTGGATATTTGATAATTCATTGCTTTACTATATGTTGAAAAAAAATATCAAATTGAAATTTAAAATGGTTTAAGATACGGAGATCCAATGCAGTTTGAAAAACCATGATCTTTAATATGTATATTCATTTTGTGATAAAATACACACGTGCATTCAATTCTAGAGGTTGAACTGTTGTATTATTTACGTGTTCTGTTTAAATGAAATGATTTAAATTTACTCCTAATTTCTTAGTTGCAGAAAATGAAAAATCATTGAAAAGAATAAAATTCAAAAATTTCAATTTGTTTAAAGCTAATGAATTAAATTTATTTCTGCTAATATGGATATTGATTAAATATATATATATATATATATATATATATATATAGCAAATTGTTATACAAATACGATTGAAACCTTACAAAAGGAACAAGGTGAATGATTCATTTCTACACTCCAAAGACCAGCTTAACGACAGTCCATCGTACACGCTAAAAATGACTTTTATTATGCAAATTTATGAACTCATTCGCAAAATATTTTATATTGAGATAAATGGTTTTTGGTTAGATTTATGTAAATCAAAAAAACACTTCAAACTCATAAGTAAACTTAATTTTTAAATATATATGTCTTTGCTATCTATCGCCTCAACATAATTTGTTAATAGAAGTGAGGGCATTTTCAAATATAACCAGCAAATTCAATTTTGTAACTATATTCTAAACTTTGTTAAACGTTTAAAATTTATGTTGCTTTTTAAATTTCGTGTGCATAGAATAAAAAATAACCATCATTGATAATTTTTCTATGTTTTCACAGCAGTTCTGTGAGTAATTGAAATGATTATATTTATTCCTATTATATACACTTTCTTACTTAGAAAAAATAAAAATTCGATATGGATTTTCAAATTGTTTAATGCTGTTCATTTAAAGTGATTTCTGGTTATAGAGAAGGCTTAAAAACATCAGTATTTGAAACATAAAAAAAAGCACCAAAGAAGGAAAATGATCAGCATCCACTCTTAGATCGTAAGCTGACTTTTTATCTATTAAAAGTCAACATACACTCAAAAATTGCATTTATTATGCATTTACATAAAAAGTAATCGGCAATCTTCTTTACATTAAATAAAATGCAATACATTTATGTCTTTTAAATTAAGAAAATAGTGTTATGTAAGGGCATTTCATGGAAATTTAACATAACAATTAGAAAATTTAATAATCTGCAATTTGGCCAATGAATTAATGATGGCTTGTCATTTCGGAGGCATTGAAGTAATAAGATTTTATGTAGTATTTGGTGCAATTTCAGAAAAGGCTTACAACAATGCATTATTTTTTTTTTTTATGAAATCTTTATCTCGTCAGTGTATTTTTTAATTCCCTGATAGATTTATCCTGTTGTTGTTTGTTTGTTGTTTCTTATCCCACTTGGCTGGCCAAGCCCACAAGCCCATATGGACTCATGATTGAAGGGGAAGGAAGCAGCTTCTGTTGTGATGGAGCACCCGTAGGTAGAAGCCTGACTTTTGCTCTGTGACGCTCTTACAGTCATAGAAGACCGGGACCTACGGCTTAAAGTGGATTCCGAACCACTACAAACATCCATGGCACCGCCGGGATTCGAACCCGAAACCTGTGGCACCGAGCGCTAGACACTCGGCCATTCAGGTCCCAAATTTGAAAACGGCACGCAGTGTTCCCAGGTGGTCACTCACCCAAGTACTGACCGCGCCCAATGATGCTTAACTTAGATTTATCCGTATATACATTTGATGGATTTCAAACCTATACTGATCCATACGCCTCCTCAATCGATATGTATGGTGTAAGTCCTCTGACTATCTTTGTGATTTGTATCCTTGCTAAGCTGAAAGATCCACTGGTTTTCCAACTAATCACTGTCAACACATGTCTGAACGTTATCTGGTAATATATTCAGTTATTACAAACGATCCATTGTACTTCCAATCAACGTTAATTCCCTAACGCTAGAGAGAAACTTTCATCATTCTCAGAACCATGACTCTTTCGATGTAGCGAAATATTTCTATTCTAATAATCTTTACTGAGAAACTGAATTTTACGTCCATCTCTTCCAAATACACATTAATTCTCAATTTTTGAAAAATAGAATTTATCACAAACTAAAACTTTTATAGGCATATTCATGAATGGTGCTTTGGCTTTCTCTGGAAATGAGTGCTTTCCTTCAAAGAACTCTTTCATGAAATCCTACAGATTTGAGAATCCCATCAACGGATTTGGTATTCGCAATCCAAATATTTATCGCTGATTTGAGAATCCCATCAACGGATTTGGTATTCACAATCCAAATATTTATCGCTGATTTGAGAATCCCATCAACGGATTTGGTATTCGCAATCCAAATATTCATCGCTGATTTGAGAATCCCATCAACGGATTTGGTATTCGCAATCCAAATATTCATCGCTGATTTGAGAATCCCATCAACGGATTTGGTATTCGCAATCCAAATATTCATCGCTGATTTGAGAATCCCATCAACGGATTTGGTATTCGCAATCCAAATATTTATCGCTGATTTGAGAATCCCATCAACGGATTTGGTATTCGCAATCCAAATATTTATCGCTGATTTGAGAATCCCATCAACGGATTTGGTATTCGCAATCCAAATATTTATCGCTGATTTGAGAATCCCATCAACGGATTTGGTATTCGCAATCCAAATATTTATCGCTGATTTGAGAATCCCATCAACGGATTTGGTATTCGCAATCCAAATATTTATCGCTGATTTGAGAATCCCATCAACGGATTTGGTATTCGCAATCCAAATATTTATGGCTGTAACGTATTCCAGTCATTGAGGAGAAGCACAATTTCAAATGCTACCTCATTTTCACCGCTTCTCAAGCTCCAAATCATTGACCATTCTTTATGTGGTTTGTTAAAATAAGTCCAGTTGCTTTCCAGTTTATTATTATAGTTTAGCCAATGCATCAAATTTGTTCAATAAACTTTACAATTTAAGTATTTAGTTTTATTATTCTCCTTAATTGAATGATTTGGTTTTCCACTCTTCGGTTATTTTGTGCAAACTTTAGGATAATTAGACCGGGAACGACAGTTTAAAGTTGATTCCGAACAACTCGCAAACACACATGCCACCGCTAGGATTCGAATCTGTAGCCTGTGATACAAACGGTCAGAGCGCTAGCCAAATGCCCAATCGGCTGCCCTTAACTAAATGATCAAATTCCAATTGTTATGAAGAATTTTCTGAATTGTTATGAAGAATTTTCTCGTTAGATCATGAAGTCAAGCAGCATTGGGCGCGGTCAGTATTGGGTGGGTGAACACCTGGGAACACCGCGTGCCGTTGGCATTCACACATTTGGGACCTGAATGGCCGAGTGTCTGGCGCTCGGTGCCACAGGTTTCGGGTTCGAGTCCCGGCGGTGCCATGGGTGTTTGTAGTGGTTCGGAATCCACTTTAAGCCGTAGGTCCCGGTCTCCTATGACTGTAAGAGCGTCACGGAGCGAAAGTCAGACTTCTACCTACGGGTGCTCCATCACAACAGAAGCTGCTTCCTTCCCCCTCAATCATGAGTACATATGGGCTCGTGGGCTTGGCCTAGAAATGTCTGCCAAGTGGGATAAGAAACAACAAACAGAATTTTCTGTCTCGTTACTGTTCTACTTCAAATGATTCTCCCACAGATTTCTTAACGTATAATAATTTTTTTTTTGTGTGTGTTCAGTTTTTCAAGATATAGTATCCATGCCTTGGTTTAAGCGATTTTCTTTGTTGGAACTTATTTTTAATTACTCTACTAGTAATTATAATAGATAAAGAATTAATATTTGTTACTGAAATTGGGGTTCAAAAATAATTTTGTCAATCACATTAAAATACTGTACGGCTTTCGAATCTCGGTGGTATAAATTTTTATAATTAACGGAATCGGAACATAAATTATCAAGTAAAATTTTCTGGGCTTTTACCGTAACAGATAGTGTCTGTTCATTAATTGCATATATTTTAGTAGAGAACAGAGTAAAATTTGTGTTACGTCGAAACCCAGCTTCTCCCGCCTGGGGGAGGTCAACGCCCTATGCCCGGAAAACATCCTGTTTGTGGGGGTGTCTGGCTGAGGGCCAGGGAGAGAAAGAAGGAATGCAAGTAAAAAGAGTTGAAACTTAGCGACCGAAGGAAAAGGTTGGTGTTAGCGGTCCATCCATGAGTTGCAATGGCTGCATAAATAATTGAGTGTAACCCCAGTGAAAGGTTATGTGGGCAGTTCCATCTTCGAGTTTGATGACTGCCAAAAATAAAGGAGTTTTATTTACAGTCCACTGTGTCGAGTATTATTTCCATTAACTGAGTATGTGTCATTTTTTTGGAATTTGTTTCTTGAGTCCGAGCTATCGAACAATTTGGATTACATAATGAATACTAATTAGTATCTTTTACTTATCGAGAGGCAAAATTTAGTGATTCAAATTGGTTATTTCGTATTAGTTATAAAAACTTAGTAAAACATGTGGCGATAAAATTAGAGTTTCTAGTAAAAAGGTTAGCGCGAGAAATAGAATGAAATGCTATCGGATCCCAATATTAAAATTTTAAGATACTACTTCAGTATTTAAAAAAACCCATTTTAAATAAATACGGAACCCTGATTTTCTTAGACTAACAAATAATTGTGGAACAATTGCAAAATATTAAAAAGAATTTAATTTAAATATTTTTGAATGTATGTTTTAAAGGATGCTGTTCATAAATAATTAATACCTTTAATCAGTTAAAATGTTTCGTGAAAAATAAAAACTGGAAATGAATAAATTTAAGTGTTAACTAATTAAAGAGATATGAATATTACTTTGATTCTTAATATTCAATTTTTCTCTGTAGAATATTAGAAACTTGAGTGGACAACAGCTGAAAGCAATCATTACAAAGATCCAGAATACGCCGTTACACAAGAATCCCGCTGAATTTAATCTGAAACAATTTTAGCATCTCTTTTACAAAATTTCTCATCAAACCTCCGATAATGGCAAAATCTTCCATTAACGCTAAACAAGGGAATTACCAGTGTGAGACTTGTGGTAAGAGGGTTCCGAAAGAAAAGAGATTTATCCCGGCATGTGCGCATTCACACAGGTCTTAAGCCATATGTTTGTGACGTTTGCCAAAAGGCATTTACACAAAAAGCAAATTTAAAGACTCATTCTAGGGTGAAAAATAATGAGTGTGAAATTTGCAAGAAAAAGTTTATTCTGAAGTCAAATTTGAAGTGTCATCTGCTTACGCACACGAAAGAATTGCCACACGAATGCGAATTATGCAAGAGAAAATTTAGATATCGAAGTGGTTTACATGTCCATTACCGAACCCATACCAACGAAAAGCCTTACGAATGCGATGTTTGCGAGAGGACATTTTCACAGAAGAGCAATTTTAATACTCATTTGCGTATCCATATGAATGAAAAGCCATTTGAGTGTGGAATTTGTAATCTGAAATTTACTCAAAAGGTCCATTTGCAAAGATATCTATTGAGACATTCCAAGGAAAGCCTCACTGTGAAAGAAGTTTCTGACAAATATGCCATTTAAAGAGACGCATGCGTACGCATTCGAAAGGGAAACTGTTGTATGTTAAATAAAAGAGCATTGATATTTTATTTACATAAAAATTTACGACCATTGCATTTATACGTGTAATGTTAAATCTTAGTGAATGGTGACCAGTGAATGATTTTTGTTTTTCGATTTTGAACGAACGATTTTTGAATTTACACTAAATGATTATTTTTATAATATTTCTTGTTTTATTCTTCTATTTTATATGCATTTGTATGCTTCTTTATTATAAGCAATATTTTATATGCAATTATTGTGATATTCTTTATTTTTTCTCCTTTTGAACAAGCTTCGAAATATTTTCATTGTACGAATTATATAAAATACATTTTTTTTCCTTACAGAATATAAAATGGTACTTACGTATTAACGGTACCTTGGCGACAGTTGCGCTAATAAAGAGCACACGCGCCAACCGGTTTTGAATCGCGTCGTTAGATAGGCACACTTAAAAACTGCCAAGATTGTCGCCAAAGTACCGTTAATACGTAAGTACCTATAAAATTTATAAGTTTTAAATTTTCCCAGAAGTACAGCTTAAATAAACTTTTTGTTTTAATTTAATGCTTTGTTAATGTTGTTTTGTAAAATTTCATTAAGAAACATTATATTAGTATAGCATTTGAATTAAAAACGCCTTTATGGTATTTTAATAAAGCATTTTATAATACACATTTTTACATCTATAAATTTATGTAATTGAAATTATAATAAATTATAACATATAATATAATATATAATTAAACTATAAATTATAACAAATTAAAATGCAAAAGAATTAATTTTATGCATAAATGTCTTTTATGGAAGGAACATTATTTATAATTCAAATTGATTGATAAAGTCAATAATTGTAAGGGTTTTATTTCTTGTTTTAGTACAATGAAAATAACTGACAATTGCATTTATACATGAAATGTTTAGTTTTAATGAATGATGAGTAATGTTTTTACTTTTTGTAGTTTGCATACCCTATTTTTGGATTTTACAATAAATGTTTTTTAAATATTTTATGTTTTAAAGAACAATTGCATATAAAATAGAAATTACGTTTATATAATGCACTGTGTAATTATTATATTTTTTTACCTTTTGAATAAAATTAAAAATATTTT